GGGGGGTGGGGGGGGGGGGGGCGCTCGTGGTTTAAATAGATCACGTCTCCCATATCACGTGTTGACAGAGTGTTGTGAGGGCTGAAATGTTTCATATCCAGGGTATAGCTTTATTGGCGCCCCATGGCAACCCTCTGGGACGCATAAATCAGTCACGGTGGTAGGGAGAAAAAGGCCCCCCTCCATCGATTCATCCAGTGTGTGAACAGGGAACCGAGCTTGACAAATATAATATATAATACACAAAAATGATCAGCTCCAATGACTTCGGATGGTGCAAGTAGCTTTCTGATCTATTTGGATGGTGGGTGTCACAGTCTGATGTGTTGTGTCATGGTGGGTGTCACAGTCTGATATGTTGTGTCATGGTGGGTGTCACAGTCTGATGTGTTGTGTCATGGTGGTTGTCACAGTCTGATATGTTGTGTCATGGTGTTTGTCACAGTCTGATATGTTGGTATGGTGGTTGTCACAGTCTGATATGTTGTGATGGTGGTTGTAACAGTCTGATATGTTGGTATGGTGGTTGTCACAGTCTGATATGTTGGTATGGTGGTTGTAACAGTCTGATATGTTGACATGGTGGTTGTCACAGTCTGATATGTTGACATGGTGGTTGTCACAGTCTGATATGTTGACATGGTGGTTGTCACAGTCTGATATGTTGACATGGTGGTTGTCACAGTCTGATATGTTGACATGGTGGTTGTCACAGTCTGATATGTTGACATGGTGGTTGTCACAGTCTGATATGTTGACATGGTGGTTGTCACAGTCTGATATGTTGGTATGGTGGTTGTCACAGTCTGATATGTTGAGATGGTGGTTGACACAGTCTGATATGTTGAGATGGTGGTTGTAACAGTCTGATATGTTGACATGGTGGTTGTCACAGTCTGATATGTTGTGATGGTGGGTGTCACAGTCTGATATGTTGTGATGGTGGGTGTCACAGTCTGATATGTTGTGATGGTGGGTGTCACAGTCTGATATGTTGGTATGGTGGTTGACACAGTCTGATATGTTGACATGGTGGTTGTCACAGTCTGATATGTTGAGATGGTGGTTGTAACAGTCTGATATGTTGACATGGTGGTTGTCACAGTCTGATATGTTGTGATGGTGGTTGTCATAGTCTGATATGTTAAGATGGTGGTTGACACAGTCTGATATCTTGGGATGGTGGTTGTCATAGTCTGATATGTTGGTATGGTGGTTGTCATAGTCTGATATGTTGGGATGGTGGTTGTCACAGTCTGATATGTTGACGTGGTGGTTGTCACAGTCTGATATTTAATAATAATATGGGTGTGTAGTGGTCAGTGGTCACCCTATCCTATGTTATTTTATGCCCGGCGTAGCCTGGGCCCAACTACACACCTGTCACACCTGCAATCCTGTTTCTTTCTCGGTCCCTTCTTTTTACAAACTAATGAACCCATTAACTTTAACTTATTTTGGCAATACGGCGTGGTTATCAGAGATAATGCTTAAGACTTAAGAAGTTAAGACATCTCAGACTTCAAAGATATCCATAAGTCCATAAATAGTTCACAAATCACAGTTCACATTCAGTTCATTTAGTATTGTTATTTCCGTGGCCTCCTTGAATACTATGTAAATCACTACAATTTATCGTAACTTTATTTAATATTAAAGTAGGCTATAATATAATTTTAAAGAAAGTTATCCTTAAATAAAATTAGCATACATAAAATTGTATTACCTTTTTGTGAGTCTGCTGTCAAAGAGGTTGTTCCTAGAAATAGCAGAAAAAACACCCACAGTATTTCATTGTCACAAAACATCTTCTTTCCTTCTTGACTCCAAACCATCTCTCGGTTGTATCAACCACAATATAATTACATCACTTCATTTTTCCCCCCTTCTTTATTTCTATTTCGATCTCCCAAATCCAGTTCCATATAAACAAACGAATTATTTGCTCCGTCCAACTTCATCAATCAATATTGACTCATCGGGAATATCCACTCAATGAAACTTGTCAGAAACAGATTTAAAAAAAAAAAGAATATATATCCTCAATTCAACATTGTGAAATATAATTTAAACGAAATAAATAACACAGGTGCGCGAAACAGCACGCGCTGACTAAATGTTAAATAAATAAAATCTGAAACGTATCAATGAATGCGGATGAATTTTGGAATTTGTTTACAGTTTTTGTGATTCGCAAAATTTTGTTGAAATGCCTGGCGAGCGGCACGCGTGAAGTCCCAGCGCGTCATCGGTTATTGTGGTTGGGTCGAATCTTTGTTCCACAATTCCAACAACAAACTGTTCGCGTGCAGCTGTGTGCTGTCACTGTTCGTCGGCAGGCAGTTAGGGGTCGACATTAAAAAAAAAAAAAAAAAAAAAAAAAATAAATTTTGAATTAAGGTATAGGGGCAAGCCATGTAACTTAATTTTTTTTTTAAAAAAGAAAAACAACAAAAAAAACAAAACAAACTAGAATGAAGAAAGAGTATGTCATCAAGATTTTTATTCTTAATTCTTAATAAATATTTGATTCGAATTGGATCATCCATAAGTCTCATTGGATCATGACTATTTTGTTTCATGAGTCAATTTAATGATATTTATTTAGTTAGTAAATTTAATATACGTGCAAATGCCAAAGGATAAGATCCCATGCGACTCCACTCTAACTCAACCAAAAGGGTAAACCAATCAAGCAGAAAATTTAAATAGTTTTGTAAAAATAAAAACTTACAGCCAATTCAAATGCGTTTTTATTTTCAATAAAGAATGATATATGCCATACTACTCACACACACAAAATTATACAAAAATAAATATTCATAAGCATCTTCTTATAGTCAATGTGGAACGGGTTGCAAAAATGAATATTCATATAATAACATCTAGTCCACTATGTGTAATGCTGGATAGGAATGAAACGAAAACGAAAGGAGACCAAATACCGTGACGGCACCTGTTATATTTTACACATCGTTTTTTTTCTTTAATAATGCCCTTTCATTTATTTCACCAATATTTCGTTATAGATAAATGCTAAGGATGGTTTTTTGTAATGTAACTATCTCTGCTTTTCGTAAGCCATTAAATTTTCTGAGAAATAATGGTAAGGTGCGCTGGTACACTGCTACCACCTTATCAACAAATCATTATCATTTTAAAAATGGTAATAATGGTGTTCTTGATGAAGTTGATTTTGAAAGACAACGAATTCGAAAAGCGAACAGTAAGAATAGAAAATAAAATCTTGATTAAATAACATTATTTTGTATTTGATTAATCTCTTTTAACAGTACTCATTACGAGTATATTAAATGATTATACTATAAAAAAAGATTGCCAATAATTATAATAAAAGTTTAAGTCATTTAAGTAATTACAGTGCAGTGAATTCTGTTTCAAACAATCAAACTCAAATCAAACTCAAACGTTGTGTGTCTTGTATTTTAAATATTGATAGAATTGGAATTGTGATATATGAGTATGAGATTTAAAGTTTAAACTATTTACTAGTTAGACTCTAAATAATTAAGTCATTATAAATAAATTATAATTTATAATTTTTGTCACTAAAGATAAACTGGAGTTTATTTAGCCTATAACTGATTCCTAATAAAATGTTGCCTTGGTTATGGTTTAAAGTTAAATGTGTATTTATTTATGAGGTTAAAATGAATATGTAGAATGCAATAAATAAAAAAAAAAAAATCTATTTATTTTTTATTAATGAAATGTTACATTAAGAAATGGCGTCAGCGGGCCGTCGAGCTTGCGCTCTTTATGCCCTCCCCAAAACACGCCTCCCCAACCCGGTATTGGACCAGGGTCTCCGCCGGGGGCCGTCCTAACCCATAGACACCCGGTCGGTCCGACACTGTGTTTGCACACAGTGCACACGATTGACTTTCTCAGGAGTCGGGATGGAAAAATGTACGTCCTAATATCTTCCCCCACCCATCCCAGGGAAGCGTTAGATGCCTTATAAGAGGGATTCTACAGTGGGTTTCCACAACGCAACTAATTTGCGATGCAGCTGGGACAAAACGGTTGCCTTGGAGCAGCTTCTCAGGGCTTTATTAATAAAGAATCTTATTCTATCTCAATCTTATATTATACTAATTATACTACTAGGTATTCCCTTGCAGCTACCACCTTTGATTGTATATTGATTCATATTTTAAATATGCAGGAAAGTACAGCACAAATGCACAAAAAACACAACAGCAAGCTCCATTGAAAGGTATTCGAGTGTTAGATTTGTCCAGGTAATAAGCTTATTACAAAATATTTATTTATTTATTTATTTAGGCATTTTTATATAGCGCTTATCATAAAGCTCTAAGCGCTTTACAATTATTAAAACATGTAAACTAAGTAAATACAAATGAGACACTAGGATAGTAACTACTATTCTATAGATCCGAAACAGAAAATTAGGTAGGGCAACGAGGGTGCATCACAGGTCATAGGCGGACCTAAACAGATGAGTTTTAAGGGACTTTTTGAAACTGGACGAGGTTTCACTATGACGTATATGGAAGGGGAGCTGGTTCCAGAACATTTAAACAAAATTTTAAGTTAAAATTATATTTATTTTAATTGTGCAGCATAATAACAAAGGTAAATATTTAATTTACACCAAAACTACAAATTGAATAAACCTACATTTTTTTTTTATGTCCAACAAAAAAGTAGATGCAGTAGACATAGAAATTCAAAATAAATTTTGATGTAGCTGTGATCATAATTTATTATCTTTTAAGTTAACTACAGAAGTTGTCTTAACATTTTTCTGTGGACATCAAGATGTGCATTTGAAGGAATTTATAACTTTTTACTATTTGCAAATATTGCACAAAAGATTATTTTTCAATGTACAGGCTGTCCATCACATTAAATTCTGTTAACTTTAGGTATGGCTGCAGTTAGGGGTGGAGATTCTGGTGTTATGCTACACCAGGATTAATGTTCTTTTATTGTGAGAGTGATGTAGTTACTCTGCAATATCTATAAGTGTTGAGACCGAAACTTACTTTTTGAAAAAGGATGATACAAATATTCCTTACAGAGTTCTGGCTGGACCTTATTGTACAATGATTCTTGGTGATATGGGTGCTGAAATTATTAAAGTTGAACGTCCAGGTATTTTTAGTCTTCTTCACCATTTCTCCTTCATAATAAAATTTTAAGGAATGAAACTCAACTTAAAACTTACAGTTTATTTTGCTGAATAAAGTATTCTTAATGCCTAGTAATTAATTGTATTGATTTATATTGAAATAATATTTTATGAACCTTCAGGAGTTGGTGATGATACAAGAACATGGGGACCTCCGTTCATTGGTTCTGAAAGTTGCTACTATCTGTGTGTCAATCGGAACAAAAAAGTTAGCAGTTTTTCACAGCATTAGCAATATTTACTACCCTTGACCCTTAACTTGCTTTGCTGGGGTGCCATGACAGTGTACAATCATTGTCTTTATTTGCTCTCAGATGCAGGCCTTCACAAGAAGAATGGTTAGAGGATTCCATTATTTGTTGTTGTGCAACCATTTTGAGAACAATGAGAAAAGTCAGTAGATCTTTAACATTTAAATTTGCTTGTCATTTTAAAGGATTGTAACTTTTAGCTTGTATTTTCATAATTTCAACAGATTAAATTTATTCCTGTTCCATAACTTTTTTGTTTTCAGAGCATAACAGTTGATCTTAAACAGAAGGAAGGGATTAAACTCATTAAAGAGGTTATAACATATTTAACATTTTTAAAAGTTGCATTTAATTTAATTGAAATAAACTAGATTTTTCAATTTCATTTATTTATAACATATTTTCAAATTAATACTTTTGAGTGTAACATAATTTATCATAATTTTTTAATATGGTCTAAAAATATTGAATTCTCATTGAAAATATTTTTAATAGGAAAGGGGAGACAAATTAGAGCATAACAAAGATATCTTTTAATTCAGATAGCATCTGTCAGTGATATCTTAGTGGAGAATTACATCCCAGGAAAATTGTCTGAAATGGGCTTGGGTTACACAGAATTGAGCGCAGAATTTCCTCACCTCATCTACTGTTCAATAACAGGTGGACATCGGTCAAGGTTCTTTTTGTTAGAAATCGCAGCTTAGCCACAATCAATCATATTACAGTATTTAGGTTCTTTATTGGAGATCAAAACACTGTTTAGTTTAAAATAAATAGCATAGTCAACTCCCTTATTGTGAAATTATTAAAGTTTTTGATACAAAAAAAAATTGGTGCTATGGTATATCAAAGACTTGAAAATTTCACAGATTAACAGCAATATTTGTTTTTTTAGACTTATTGTTACCTTTAAACCTTAATTCAACTGAAAGGAAGATATATTACCTAGTGAGTCACAGTTATATTTTATAACTGATGAAGTTTTATGGTCAATAGAGAAAAAAAAATCAGTTAGCTTTTTGGTTCTAATAATTTCTACAATTCACCACAGGATATGGTCAGACAGGAAAATATGCCACTCGTGCCGGCTATGATGTGATTGCAGCAGGCATTGGGGGTCTGATGAATATAACAGGACCTGCAGTTAGTTAATAGCTAAATTTTGTCAGGCATTAATATACAAGATCAAAAAACTATATACACTATTTGTATCAATGATTTTTACTATAAAGCTTTTACTTTTACCATACTTCTATTATTTTAATTCTTATTATTATGTGTGCAGGATGGGGAACCATGCAAGGTGGGTATTGCAATAACAGATCTTTCAACTGGCCTTTATGCAGTCAGTGCAATTTTAGCCTCCATACTCTCTCGGCAAACTACAGGGAAAGGTCAACATATAGACTGTAATTTGCTATCGACAAATGTAAGCAACCATTTCAAAGCAGCCTCTTTAACTAGAAGTAGGGTGTTTTTTTTTTTGTTCATATGAATGACACACAAATAAAAGAGAACCTTTCATACTGAGATTTGTTAAAATTTAGAAAAATCAGCTTTATAAGTTAAATTTAATGAACTCATTATGGTAAAAGGAAAATGGATGAATGCTTTATCAATATTTTAAGTACATTTACGTAATCAAAATTTTACTGAATGAGGTATGAGATAAATGTTAAATGTTGTTTTTTTTCCACAGGTGGCATCATTAGTTAATGTTGCATCAAATTATCTAAATTCTGGACAAGAGGGAAATCGTTATGGAACAGCCCATGCAAGCATTGTGCCATATCAGGTCATCATTTTTCCGCTTCATGAAATTTAATAGTAAAATGTACCATCAATTAGGCCTTCTAAAAGAATCTGGCAGTCAGCTGATTCAAAAGTACACAGAAAGGAGCCAGCATTTTTGCATTGTCATTCTTTTATTAGGACAATTACATGATATCAGCTTTGGGTATCACTTCAACACACCCACATTTTAATTGGATTGCATAGAACTGCATACATTTATTGACAGCGTCAAAATTTTTAACTGTTAAATTTTGCTTTACTGTACTGTGTTCTAGGCTTTCAAAACGTCTGATGGTTACATTATAGTTGGTGCAGGCAATGATGGGCAGTTTAAAACCTTAACAAAAGTAAGAAACAATTCTATATGAAATGCTGTTTATGAATTTAAAAAATTGGCTGGTAGAATTGAAAGTTTAAAATAACCTATATAGATTATGCTTTATATTTTATTCTTTGTATCAGGCCTGCACAACATATGGCCCGCGTGCCCTATGTGGCCCGCCAGCACCCACTTTGCAGCCCGTGAAGTAACGAAATATTCTTTATTTTTAATATTTTCTTAAAAGCTTTCCCCTTCTCCTATTTTCTTTTGGCTCGCACAAGTCCTGTCATATTTCTTTTTGCCCACACAAGTCCTGTCATGTTTACTTTTGGCACGCACAAATTTTTTATTAAGTATTACGGCCAGCCTTACATTTTGAGTTGTGCAGGCCTGCTTTATATCATCCAAATATATTCCATTTGCATCTGGATATTAGATTAAATGGAAAGAAGCTTGTTATAACTTTCTGCTTCTGTCTCCACCAGCTAATTGGCCATCCATCTCTGGCTCAAGATGAGCGCTATTTGACTAATGCAGTAAGAGTAAAGAACAGAGAGTCCCTCCTCAGTTTTCTTTACTCAGTGTGAGCCATTGTAATTTATTGCATACATTTGTGTCAGACCATAATAGTTATCCAACTGAATTCATTGACCACAGTTCCAGATTGTGTCAGAGTAACTCAAAAGTACTCCTTTAAGTTATTCTCTATAATAACATTATTTATAATTTTCTGAACGGGTTTTAAAATGATTTATAGTTAACACTTTAATCAATATAATTACCAAGTGACCTTACAGGCAGCCCACACTTGAGTTTTAATTTACTGGTGGTTTATCTTTGTCACATTTAAACCTATGCATCCTACTGAGTTGGATTTCTGATAAAATCAATGGCAAATAAACTTTTCACCAGCTGTAGATGCACTTTATGTAAAATAAATATAAAAATAATGCTAAAAATGTCATGAATTTTCAGAAAAATCTTCTCCTTTCTGTGGGTCATGTCAAGTTAAAGATGTTTTATTTTTAGGTTCATGCAAAAACCACTAACTGAATGGCTAGAGATATTTGAAAATTCGGGAATACCTTATGGACCAATAAACAACATGCAGCAAGTATTCTCTGATCCCCAGGTAATAGGAGTGAAGCCACATCTAATTTATGGAGTTATTTTATTAACGAATGCTCAAGGCTCATCAATTCATTTAAAACGTAATTAATCCCAGCAATGTTTTTAATGGTACTTTCCCAAACTGTTCATTTCTTTAAATTGTTTGAGTACACACTACTTATTTTAGCTGCAGCATGGGTGGCAAGAAGGAAGATAAATTTTTGAGTCCTTTTTTTAAGTGTCTAGTTTTTAATGTAATATTGTTAAGATCACTCTTTAATCAAATATAATAAAAACATTGTCTACTCTAGAAATTAATATTTTATCTATTTGTCAAGATGAGATCAGCTGTGAGCTTATTCCACAGGTACAACATAATGGTATGATACAAAGCATCCAACATTCAACAATTGGAACAGTGCGCTTACCAGGCCCAGCTGTCCGTTACAGTGTAACAAAAACTGTTGAACCTTCACCCCCACCTCTTTTAGGGCAACACACCGATGAGGTGCTTAAGGGCATTTTGGGGTATTCAGATAACTCTTTGTCCAACTTGAGACAACTGAAAGTAGTTGATTAATAGATGCCCTACGGCTCAATTAAATAATAATGTTGTATATTATTTTGCCGTGTACGTCTAACTTTTATTGACCCCATGGACAACACAGATGACTAAGTGCCATTATGTGTTGACTGTGATGATTAATTAATATTACACTTTTTGGGTATAAGTTATTTAAATCTCGCTGGGTCAGTAACTAGTTATCAGTTAATGTTCTGTTGGGAGTTAGGAAGATTTGATCTAATCTATTTATAGGGTCGACTGATGCTCTGGAAATGATCTGAAATAATATTATTGATTACACACCAAGCAGGTAAAACTTGTTCAAACAAGTTACTCTGAATGTTAATGTTTTAATAAATATTCTTGAAAACAGTATTATACAATATACAGTTTTAAACAAGCATAATGTATTTTACACAAGATTTCAATGGTAGGATTTATGTGACCATTTTTATTTGATTAAAGTTTAACATATATTGTTATATTGACACAAATTGTTCGTGGCTAATTAATTTATTTCATTAGTATTTTCTGAATGAAATTTATCTATTTTTCTTTTAAGCAAAATTTTTTTTATATGACTTTTAAACAGAAAATGTAATTCCACATCAATAAGTTTTTAAAAGAAATTATAAGCTTAAATGACTTTATGTGTCAAATGTATCATCTGCTTGTTAACAAAGTTGGTGAAACCTGGTTTGCAGGTCAAGCTTATGCAGCATCATGCTGTTAAGAAAACTAAGAGATGTTCAGCATTATCTTTATATTGTACTTCAAATTATTTTCTTTGATCTTTGATATTGTGAAAAACTATGCAACAGTTAGCTGAGTAATTGAGTTTTATTTAAATTTTTGATTCTGAACGTCTTCCTGTTTCTATTATTTTCCTAGTCAGATGTGATATGCCTGATGTGCTCACTAAACATTATTATATTATAACATGTACATCCTAATGACAAATAAAAGCAAAGTGTATAGAACTTTTGAGCAATCAATTTAATCACATTATATTTCTTAAAAAATAATTACAGCAATGCAGAGAAATTTTAAAATTACATTTTTACATTTCACATGCAGCACATTTGAAGTTGCAAAAAAGAAATATTTTATTTTGAAATGCCAATTTTTAAAAAAATGTATAAAAACCATACATTCCTTCATTTAAGTTAATTTTATTAAATATTTTATAAAAAGTTAAATTACAGTAATTGATTAAAGGCATTCAAATGACTAGCTTGATAAAGAAAACCTGAAAGATTTTTGATGGCAACAAATAAAACAGACCTTCACAATGTTGCTTTTAAAAATCATCAAAGTACATTTCACTTTGGTTTAGACTCAACACTTTCATCAGTGGTCATAAAACCACAATGGTTATTCGAAAACAACATTTGAAAAGTGCACTTTTTTTCCACTGAAGAACAAAAAGAATAAGTTAAGTTTTTTTGTGAAAATACCATAAGAAATAACAATTTAGCACTATTTATTAATTTTAATACCATTCCTAAAGTCAATAAATTGTAAATAGACTGAACTCATAAAAGGAGAGTCTATTTCAATAATTATCAAAAAATATTTTAGCTCAATTACCGGTAACTGAAATGTTACTGAACAATGCTAATAATATCACAACTTTCAACAGAATAGTTTTAAAAACTATGATTGTACAAGAATCATATATTTGGTTTAATATAAGTTTGTGAACAAGACAGTAAGGCTTCTATAACATGGACTATGAACACAGTTTCATGTGATGTTAATGCAGTTATTATTTTATATATAAAAAATAAATATATGCTAAGTTGATAAATAATAGCTAAATGAATGTGGTTTGAACTGTTTGCAGTAAAATCTATTCCACTAAGCAATCTTGTCATTGCCGGCAGCAAAAATCACAGTTTTAAATTGTTGATCATGAAGAGTTGTATTTATAAAAATCTCTTCTCACAGCCCTGGCCTTAGTTTCTTGGCAGCCACAGCTAAAGTATATTAAAAAAAGAAAAGATAATTAGATGAATTTATTTAACTTTCATCTTTTTTAAAATGGGAAATTTTAGAAAATATCAAAAAGGTCACTTTCATAAGCACTAATACTTTAAAGGAATTTGAGCTAATGACCCAGTTTATTCTATTTAGTAGTGCATACACATTTTTTACCTTTCACATGACACACTTCTGCATCAACTCCTAATTTTATCAAATAGTCAATCCAAAGAATCTGTTTGTGGGACAGCCTGTCACCTGGGCCTTTCACTTCACAAATCTGTAACAGGGCATGCAATACTTTAAATGTGTTAATCTACAGCAGGAAAAATACTATTGAAAAACATGGAATAGAAATCCAGTTATAAGGATTGAAAAGCTTACAGGATAATATGAAAAAGCTTAACCGATTAATGTAATGACTGTCGTGATTTATTTCTTTACTTTGAGTGATATAGAAATTAATTTTTTTAATTTTAAATTTTTTGTATGTTTTGATTAAAAGTATAGTCTTTAAATAAGGTAAAGATTCTTAATTCATTTCCTACAATACTGTAGGTACAAGGGTTACTTTAATTTAAAAAACAAATCCCAAAAAATAAAATTGATTAATTAATATACCAATTGATAAAATTTAATTGGAAGCAGTTGTTAATTTAAGAAAGAAAAGGTTACAAATTTAATTTCAGTTAACTGTTTAAAGATTACCTGTAAAAAAAAAAAGAAGCATTTCCTTTCTATTTGGAAACAGAATCAAACCAAATAACTATAATTTAAGCTGTATCACTAAAAGATGTGATTTGAATTTAGTCGCAATACTTTCAGTTTTATGGATGTGTTCAATGGTGTACTAAGTGAGAACCTGCCCTCTTCTCATAAGTTGTTATGTGAGAAACTTAAAAATACCTTTAAAGCACCAGTGTGGGGATTCCAAAGTGTGAGATCTGGAAATCCACTTCTTGTGTGTCGTGGGCAACGTGCATGTCTTGCAAGCAGACCACTTAGTACATTCCCACCCATGCAAGCTATTATTTCCTGATAATGAAAAACAAATATATATGAGATACATTAATATATCAATTATTTAAAGCCATGTAAATTACGCTCTAATTTTTAAAAAAAATCATGTATCTCTAACTATAAAAAAAGTTAAACAAAGTATAAATCTCCAGAAAGGTAAGGGTCACATTTGACATTTATAGGATTCAGTTGGATGATTTAACTCTACAACAACAATGAAAAAGGGCAAGTTTCAGTCATCAACTGGGGTCATACAAACAGGATTTTACTAAAATTAAGAGACAACCTTACCTTGACAGACTCAAGTGACCTTACTCTCTCCCAGCCTAATCCAACACATTGTGAACCTTCATGGCTGCTCCACGTCTCTTCACACAATATTTGTAAGTCCTAGATGATTGGAGTGTATTTAACAATGTATCAAAAATTTCAAGTGTGTAATTTTAAGCCTAAATTTTTATTTTGTAGCAAAATTGTTTTAGAATTTAAAACTGTAAAGAAAAAGAAATTTAAAACTACAGCTGGGTGATGTTTCAAAAGTTATTTAATTCCATGAAGAACTCAAGGTAAAGTTTACTCTTAAAACATATTCTGATTACCTTTTAAATTAAAAAAAAATAAAACAAGAACCCTTCAAATATCTCCCCCTTCCCCCCCCCCCCCCATTATTACTAATACTAATATTTTGAATAAAAGCAGGGCAATGCTTATCAATGTAAAAATCACAATTGTTGAAATAAAATGAGTACAGATGTAAATAATAATTTTCTACTTCATAAATCTGTACTTAGAGAAAATATGTTTAATTTTAACATTTCAGTTACCTCGACAGAACTTTGTGCAAGTTTCACAAGCCTCTCTTCTATGACATCTTTTCTCCTGGAATAAAACGAGTCTGAGTATAAATCCAGAGGCAATGCCTGGAATGGACTGTGGAACGCATCAGGTAGGGTCATAAATATAATGTCCCAGAAGAAAAGACCAAAAAGAGTAGACACTATTGAGCCTTCTGCATGAATCCCTGAAAAAAGTTAAAAAAACCCCAAAAATTATTAGGCTTACATAAACAGAAAAATGCTAAAAACTTAAAAAAAAATGAAATGTTAAATACCTTCTTTTTACAATTATTTGAAGTCTATTTTAAATTCTATATACTGTATGGTAAAACCACCCGATGATGTAGTAATTGGGGTCCATTAAATACTATATGGTAAAATCTCCAGATGATGCAGTGATTGGGGTCCATTAAATACTATATGGTAAAACCTCCCAATGATGCAGTGATTGGGGTCCATTAAATACTATATGGTAAAACCTCCCGATGATGTAGTAATTGGGGTCCATTAAATACTATATGGTAAAACCTCCCTATGATGCAGTGATTGGGGTCCATTAAATTTGAACAGGTTAATGCATGGTTTTAAAATATTCTGCTGGGATTTAAGTGAAGGTTAGTAAACTAAATACTTCAACATATATTTTGAAGAAAGGACACTGTGTTGACAAATAATATGTTAGAAGAAGCAAGAACATATGTAAATGTCCTTTCACAAAAAAATATTTTGTTAGTTATCAGTGAAAACAATAATAGTACCTGAAGGGTAACCTTTTTTCTTGTAATAACCCATGACATACTCCTCTACACCACACACCGTCATATCTTCAGCATTGCCATCAGCATAGGATTCTTCTGTGAGAAATTTGGTACCATTTGTACTGACATCTTGGTGGAGAACTCTTCCTTCTATGTAAACCTAAAAAATTCATCAAGCAATCATTAAGGTTAGTATATAAATTTGGATTTAGAGAAAAGAAATTAGTTGGAAAATATTTTTAAACACTTCTTGGAAATTGACCTCAGCCCCTTATTCTATGTTTTGCACTTTACTTTTCAGATGTTAGAAATTTTATTTACTTAAACAGAAATAATGATATGAGAAATTAGTTTGTTAACACCTTGGGTGTCTCCTCAACAGTTTCGTGGTGGAACTCTTGCAGTTTGTCATTCAACTTTAACCTGGGTCTCTGGCATATGTTCTCTGCCCGGAGATACAAAGCATACCGGTGCCCAATACGCACATAGCTATCAGATAAGCCCTGAGCAACAGCATCAAGTGACTGATGAATACAAGAGGCATTAAAGAATCAGTGAAATTGTTGCTAAATATAGAAGGCAATGTAATTTATGGTACAAAAAAAATCTCAAGAGAACCAAATCCAATAATAAATATATCTAATTTAGCATAATTATTTGCCATTATTGCCAGTTAACTTATATACTAAGTCTTAAAATATGGCTGGCCACAAAATGTGGTAACCACTCACCAAATAAAGAGTCAAACACACAAATAAATGTATTCACTGGTGCATGACATTAGCGTAGTTTGTTCATTCAGAGCTTATAAGTTGTAGTTTATTGACCAAAGTAAACCATGAAATCCAAAGACAAGATGGTTAACATTATTTATACTGTTGTCAGTAAAATATTCTTACATCAGTTTTTAATAACATTTTATCTCAACTCTCCATTCTATATAAGTAAATATAAAATATAAGTAAATATAAAATATATTTGGCGGGTCCACCTCTTTTCAGTAAACTTTCAAGCTGAGTATAGCTATAAACCATGATTTAAAGACAAATTATATCTTATTAAAAAAAGGTATTCACCAATGCTAAAACTATAGCCATTTATCAATTAAAATAAAATAGGATCCCCGGCAGGAGCCCATTACAAAGGTGGTCTATTTTAGTTATCCCTAAGATAGAGGCACTATTATTGTTATTATTAGGTGGTTTAATATGGCGCAGTACCCCAGTAAACTTTTCAAATTTAATCTCATTTAAATCTGAGGGACATTGCAAAGACGTTGCTTTTTAAATTTCTACTAGTCCCTCCAGGCCATACAACTTGTACTTTCTACATTTGATGATTTTTAAAAAAATTATATCTTTTGGGATAAGAGGATTATAACCAAACTTTCCAGGAACGATCTATAGGTCAGGAGGAATGACCATGTCAAATTTGGGCTCAATCCATTGTTTGGTTTTCTTGTGTTTTATCGACCCATTTACAAACATACAGACTGAGATTTACATAGTAGATATTTTAAAAAAATAATTCAGTTCTTAGATAAGAAATAAATAATCCTTAAGTAAGTTTAACTTTTTTTTGTTTGTTTAAAAACAACAAAATCTCTATAACCTCTAGGGGTTCTTTAAGGTGAGCATCAAGATTCAGGGCCAATCGTTCCCACCAGTAACCACGATGACTGCAGTTGTAAGTGGTCTGGGAAAGAAGCCTACGCAGAAGGTCAACAGCCCCAGAAAAATCTTTACGACGCTGAAGTATCTCTACACCAATACTCAACAAGCGATTGATGACAGAGGACGCTGTGTAACATCGCAGGAAGTCAGGCAAATCATTATTCCATCTTTGGTTTGACAAAGGAAAAAAAAAAATACTTATAATTTTATAAAAAAAAAAAACCCAGATAAAATCTTGTTTTCCCTAAATTTTAAAGTATTTTAGCACTCAGAAAATATTTCAGTTACAAATTAAGTGGTGATTCTGAACATCCAATATCATAAAATATGTATTTATAATATTTAGAACTGCTTACTTAGTTATACTTTCGTTGGCTTCCATCAGCTTTGATTTTTCTTCCACTTCCAGGTAAATCTCATACGCCTTATCCCATGAACCTCGAAGAGTGCAGTGAAGCAAATCTGACTCAAGCTGTAGAGCTTCCTCAAACCTAGAAATAAAAAAATACATCTAATATAAAAAAACAAACAAATTACACACATTTTTATTTTCCCTCCAAAAGACATTCATACTGTCAGGCTAAAATAAATACTTGTACACTTTTAAGAATCATAAAAATGAGGTCAAGACCATGATAAAAAAATCAGTTTGAAATTAACTGAAATTTTTATGACAATTGTCTTATAGGTTTAATTTAAGCTTATATTAAATTTTAAATAATGTTTTTTTTAAAAACAATTTTATCTACTGGTAGCAGATGAGGTAGAGAGGAAAGATTTATTGTGACTAAGACATTTAGAAAATGTTTAAAATTTCCACACCTTATTACATCCTCCCTCTCTTGGAAGATGTTGTGAACCTTGTCAACAGTATAAGATGGATAGATGACTTTGCCCATATTCACCATTAACATCTGAAACCTGAAAGTTTTTACATTTGTTTTTTAATAATTTTTTACTTCTTTTTTGGCAATCACATTATTGCTTTTATATAAGTACATGGAATTCAAATCGAAACTGGATATTTAATTAAAAGCGAATTAGCTTATAATAAAAAAGCAACTTACAACTGTCCTTGACCTCCATTTCCAGAATCTTCATCAACAGATGTGTTAACCACAGAAAATAGCATCATAACTCTAACAAAAACCTTTCTTGTTTCAGGTCTCAATTTGTAGATACCATTCAAAAACTTTTTGGCCCTGTTGATAATGAATATTTGTTGTTTTTTTAAAATTGCTTTTATGTTATGTAACTTAGTTAAAAGGGTTAAGCTGGCATAATATTTTACAGTATCATCTCAATTATACTGTGTAATTCACAAAGAACAAAATTGATAATAAAAAAAAGGGTACAAAGCTCAAAAAAAAAATACAGATAAATATAGGGCTATACACTTAAGAACCTACTTCACCAGCATTTTTTTAGCCACACCCCCTGAATTAGATCCAAACATTGATGTGATGGTACTCATTTGTTGGCATTTCTTTAGAAGCTCTTGTACCAACTGGCCCTTTTGGCACACTGCAGTCACCATGTGGTAGGACTTGGCAAGTAATTTTATGTCAGGTGCTGATAATGCGTTCAGTACTTCCTCCAAGTCAAATAGGTTATCATCTAGTTTTAAATTAAAATGTTTAATTATGGTCCATGGCAAGTTTAGGGTATAGAAATTTGAACACTTTATGTATACGCACGGCTTTTATTAGAATGACAGAGAAGTTAGACACAGCAAGTCCTAATTTGAGACTTAAGTTTATTTTATTTTACTAATTACTTGTGCCATCATTTATTGATTGGTGCAGAAGGTTTTTGGCTGACATGTTTGTTATTTTGTGTCTTTTTTCAAGTGTTCAATTAACACATGATCCTTTTGCCTTCTCTTAATACTTGAATTCAGTTTCCCCAATATTATCCCTTACACAAATTTCAAGCATAACACAATATTTCCTTTTAACCAAAGTATAAACCCAATAGTTAAAAATAAATTGTTTACTCACCACAAAAAATTAATCCATTTTCTATAAGTTCTTGTAAATATGGCAATAAATCATCAGCTATCTCAGGGTAGTTTAGTTTACTCAGTGGAATCCAGTTTAACTTCCGACTGAACATTCTGATGTACAATTTCTTAGCATTTTCTGTAAAGACAAAATATTACCTAAATAAAATTATCACCAAAATAAGGTGATTAAGTTCTCTATGAATAAAATCAATTTTAAATAATTTTGATCAAATAGTTATCGTATTATAATTTTTACATCGAGTTACATGAAAAAGAAATGACTGTGCAAGATACCTGACAATGCCTGAAAGCAGCTGATACATGTCATGTCTTCAGAATTAAAAAGTTGCTTGTTTGAATCATCCTCCATGACAGACTTGAGAATAGCTTCAAAATTATTTAGATAATAAGGCACTTTATAAGTTGGATTGTCCCCATCAATAATTGTGTCACTACTATTTACATGTGTGTCCTTGTCACTGGGATCATTCACAGCAGTTAGAGGTCCTGGAAAAATATCACTGTCATCATTGCCACACTTGTCATTCCCTAACATTTCATCACTATCAGGTTTCTTCTGAACAACATCTGCATTAATGTGTACACTTGCATTATCTATGTTCACTTTCACATTTTCATTTAGTTCAGCACCATGCTCTTTACAGTGTTTTTTTGGTGGTGGTTCTTGGCTGTTATTATCTATTATTTTTATATTTATTCTTGAGTTTCCTTTTACAGAGAAAACACTAGTTGAATCTCCTTCTCCACCAGTTTTCTGTGGGGAGTACTTTTGCTTTTTAGGGGACATGTTGGATTTATTCAAATAATAATTCCCCTTTAGGAGTGAAATTTTATAGTTTCCTTCAGAAGCGTTGTGTTCACTTTGGTGACTATGGAAAGAATTCACTTCATCGTCTCCAAATTTTATATCATTACAGATGTTTGATTTATTTAATGACAGTCTTCCTTTCCTTTTATCCGTCTTTAGACTCAAAGACTTTTTAACAGTAGTATTTCTTGGTTTAGATGAGGAAGCACAGGAACCTGTGTCTGATTTCCTTTTGTTGAAGTAATGCGAAACGGCTTCTACTTTAACAATTTCTACATCATCATCTGATAGGGTGCAGTCAAGAGTAGAAGCAATGTGGTATAATTTGCTTTCCAGTTTTTCTGTCTGCTTTTTGAACATTGATGTGATAGTTGGTGTTCCTGTTGGTGTCTGTTGGACTGATTTTGATTTGACTTTTGGTCTCATTCTCAGCCTGACAGTGTCTTCCAAGTTTATTTAATATTTTATAAGGTAGCCTGTAAATGTGACATAATAGCTGAATATTAAAATTGTTATCCCCAAAAATTATTTTGAATGTAATGAATTTAAAAAAAATAAAATTTATGAAAGGTTTAATCACGGTTGTTAATTAATTGACTTGAACTGAAAAAAAAAAGGGTAATGACCATTTTGGACTAGAATAATAGAAAACAGCTTTTGAGGCTTAGGAAAATATAGAAATCTAATGGCACAACAGTTAAAATATTTGTATGAAACCATCCAGAAAGGTTATGAGTGGGGAAAAGGCATACTTTGCTAGATAGCATTTCCTACACATTTTTTTTTTGGCCAGGTTATTTTTATACTTCTCTCCTTCTTAACCCAAGGACCATAAAAATGTATCTCGCCTATTCTGGCCTATAAATAACATGCCGAGAAAGTCACCCCACCCACTCCCCATAAAAAAATGTGCACAACAATAAATCAGGAAGAAAAAGACTACATTTTCATTTTTATAGTGAATATTTCGGGTTACTTTCAACTATTAAAATTGGTGGAATATAATAAATATAGAATTGATATATTTGTTGATCTGAATATTTTTAATGCAAATCTAGATACAGTATTCAATTCTAAATATATTATTGTTTAAAAAAAAGGGCTGCTCCCTATTATTATACTTATTGTTGCACCTCTACATCCTTTGTTCTCGTATATTGGTATATCATATATCTTTATTTATTTTATTTTTTGCAGTCAGTGTTCAGTGTTAGTGTTTCTTTCAGATTTCTCTGGATGGGGTGGTCCGACCATCTCGGATACCTCAGTATTGCCCGGGCAGTTTACAGCCCTATTAATAGTATTAATTAATTACTTTTAGTAATCATTTAGGGCAGTAACTATAGGACTATGACTATGGTATAGCTTACTTAGACTTAGAATTTAAAGCCACCCATTAATAAGAATCATAGTATGTCACACCGTAGGCTACTATTTATTTTTTGACAATTTGTGCCCCTCCCTAACCCTTGTCACACATCTCAGACCCCTAGCTGCCTAGCTCTAAGCCTAAAGTTCTCTCACTTTCAAACTAAAACATTCACAAATAATTAAAATTTAAAATAAAAAATATTTTAAAAAATACCGTAAATTCACAAAAGAGATACCATGTTTTTTTTTTCCAATGGCTGCCATCTATGGCAATTGACAATACTAATACAACTTTGCTTAAGAGTTTAAGAATTTAAGCCTATTTAAAAAAACGAAGTGGATGCGTACACCGCGGCGGTGTACCTAGCAAAACCATCGGCTTTGGCCTGCGTAAACTGCGGTGGTGTACCTAGTGAAATCGTGGGCTTTGGCCTGGGTACACCGCGGCAAAAATGTACCATTAGCCTGGTTTTAAGATATGCTTGTTAGAGAAGATCTTGTGTGGTCAAGTGGTAGAGTGGATGCTTGGCGGTAATATGGTTTGAGATCAATCCAGTAAGGGATCGAGGTTTTTTTCCTCCCATTTTAGTTTTAAAATATTTTGTAACAATTTAAATATATGTTTAAATATTATATTTAATACAATATATAAATATAAGTGTTTCAACAAGTTGTGCCAGCCAGTTAGTTGTGTACTTTGAAAATACCGGTAAATTTAGTAATAAGACTTTAGACATTTGAAAACAAACTTAAAGTTTCTGAAAGTACATGTATAGTGTATGTAACATGTAAAAGAGAAATATTATGAATACTAAGTGATATTCTATTGTATTTCAACATTCTTCATGTAGTTGAATATTTACATTTTACTTTTACGAACACCCAAAGAAAATACCAGTATGAATAATATTCATACCATATGAATATTAATGTCATTAATGTGCTTGGTCGTATTTCAACCTTGAACCATCTTGCTTTCACTATGCCTTATGCATAGGCAAAATGTACATACGATATCAAAGGTTCATTCACAACACTCAGTCTCACAGCAAATCTTTTGAAAACACCTCGATTTTAGAAACTTGCGGAGCGGTAGCAAACTGTATAGCAAAGCCATAGGTCTGCGTTTACCCTTTTCATGACGGAATTTGTTTCCAGAATGGCATGGCATGTGCTATTCTCAGGCTAAAACACGACGTTTTCTCACAGAAACCATTGCACAATGGGCTTGGGACAGGATTTGCGCTATGTCAAAGTTTTTGTATGTGTTGTTGTTTTTTATTTATTGTTAAGAAATCGATCCTTGCCGAGGGAGGGGGGGTGGGGTGGTGAGTTATGGGCAGAGGCTTAACCAAAAAGGGGGCATTCACAAATCACGGCTCTGGATAGGGGTTGTCCACAAAGGACGTCCGCACAACAAACTTACCTTTTGCATCCCCCCCTCCGCCGGCATTTTTTACTAATGTGTAATGCCAATGTAAAACTAAATCAATGATATTTAATTATTGTTAAAAGACTTTTAACAATCACTGCAGTGTTTCGTATTTATCATCATACTGTTGTTTTGTATTGACACACGCTTGGTATCACAATGACAATGCCTCAGACAACATTAACTTCACGACTTCATGATCAATGTATGAGTATGTGATTCTCTTCCCGTAGTGTATTTGTGGCGTAATTATATCTTGGTGCTAACAAAATAGATTCACTGGCTTCCCATTCATTTTTACACCACGCCC